AAAATCTACACTGTTTTAGTCAAAAAGGAAATGTGGCGGATCACGGGCAAAGGCAAAGGCCAATATAATTATACACACATGCACAAATACATATATAAACGGAAATGATTATAGTTATACCGACAAAAAAGATTATTAAGGGGTTAAAATAAAATTATACACAGCTTTTATTCGACTATCATGAAATTGTGTTAGGGTACTTATTTCGGAAAAATGGCAAGGTCATGTTTTGCATTATATGCCACGTATCAAATTTTATTTTTAACACTAAGAATTGGTATACGTATCAATATTATTTAATTATTTATATGTAGATTCTTACGTATCACATTCGCATCGCCTATATATTCCATTTGCTACCTTTTTGCATGTCTTACAATATAGATGTGAATGGTGATTGCATTCATCACAGACCTTACATCCGTAATTCCACCCTCTAAAAATATGCCACTTTTCAAAGTAATTTTGTCTTTTTTTATTTGTATATGTATTGTTATGATTTTTTATCATTGTTGTATTAATAGAAAAATAATTATACGTGACTAAAAAATTTTTTATACAAACCTGTAATTTGTGGCACTTGTGTTTATATTTACAAACAAACAAATTATACATAAGCTTATACATATGAAATTTGGTCTGCCATTTTGTTATAAAATGAATTTATGTAAATTTATTATAACATTCCCTGATATACAGTAGAAATAATAAAAATAAAATAAAAGTCACTGACCCAGAGGTTAGCTGTGTAATAGTTATACAAGGTACAGTATTTTATGATTTAATGTTATCTACAATATAGTCAATACTCTCCTAACTTAATTTTAAAATTTTTAAAGCTGAATAAGTTTTAATCCATTGCATCTTATCGATACTGATTTCAATAAAAAGTTCATATATTTTTTTAGCTCTTTCTGTTTGTTTCCAACATGTAGTATCATTAACCTCTATCTAAAAGAATTTTTTTAATCATATTCGTAATCTTATCTATTGATAAATCAGACCTAGGTGTGTTGTTTTTAGTAGGGTTAGCTTTATTGTTATTTTCTTTAATTAATAGAATACTTATATCATCTATTACAATCCTAGCACGATGAGTATAAGTTTTGGGAGGATATTCTAAGCTTATTTTTGCTTTGCATATTCATAACTAATTCAATTCTAATACCAGATTAAATGATAGATTTTTACGAATTTGAAAGTCTATTACTTCAGTACAATCTAAGCTTCGCTACTTTTTTCTATAGTGAAACTATAAATCTAAGCCTTTTATTTCTTCACCGATTAATTCATCACCAGATAAACATTCCAACCCATAATCTTCTTCAAGCTTATCAAACAAGCTTTTGCTAATGGTATTGAATTTAGATGTTATATTAATTGATGCTTTTACTGAGATTTTTCCTTCTATGAGTATATTGATAAACATATTAAATATATTTAATAAAATATATTATAACTAAAAATAATTATAATTTGGAATTATTTAAAACTAACCACTGGTGAACTTCACCATGTAGTTTATATTTCACAAATAAGTAGGGTTTTTATTGGCTTATTCGACTCTATTTATTAATTAGATTTTATAATATATAATTTATATATAAGCCAATAACATTCTTACGGGTATTCACTAATTACGGCTCAATTGCAATTTACCGTTACTGTATAAACCTGGTTAAATAAGCTATCTGCATCTATAATTAAATAGCCCGATTCCAATTTACGGAATATTATGTAATAAAATTCCGGTGAATTTCATCATGCCCTGTGTAAATAATGAGGTAATCGATCTAGAATATATAATGAGGATAATTTTGAAGATGATCACGCTTTTTTTCAAGTGCTTGTAAACTGAACTAATCCAATGATTAATCGAATAATTTTAAATAAGAACGAGTTATATATATCACAACGGCAACTAAACCTGATGGATGATATAGACTGGAACTCATATATAACATTTCCTAATAACACTGGTTTGAATAATTTTAGTCATATGAATCTCACGTCGTCTTCTGGATCCTCTAATGATAATTTTGGCGATATGGATCTTGCTTCACCTTCTGAACCTTCTAATAATTTTGCTGATATGAATCTCCAACCATTTTCTGAATCCTCTGATGATGAATTTGACGATATGAATTCCGTATTATTTGCTGGGCCTTGTAATAAATTTGACGATATGAGTCTCCAACCACCTTCCGAATTATCTAACGATTATTTTGAGGATATGAATCGTCTACCTCTTTTTAGATATGAAAATAATAACCTAGTTAATACAAGACTCTCTTTATCACTTTCTGAATCCTCTAATAGTTGCTCACTTTCTATACATGGAAATACCTCATTTAGTAACCATAATAGTGATTTTGTTAATACTAATATAAGTTTTTCTGAATATAATGATAATTTAGAGGATTCAAGTACTTCCA